ATAGCATAGCATAGCATAGCTCAGCATAGCATAGCACAGCATAGCATAGCGTAGCTGTCGGTGTAGATGTAGATGTTGCTTTCCTAGATGCTCCAACTCCTAGGTAGGGTCGCACTGGGATAATTGCAGCTGTTTTTGTTATTCGTTGTTTTTGTTGCTCCTGGTGATGATGATGTCGCTTATGATGCTGGCGCTGACAAACATGGTGTTGCTGCTGATGATGGTGGCGATGCTGATAAGGATGATGATGACGCTGGTGTTGATGATGATGACGATGATGTTGATGATGATGGTGGTGGTGGTGCCGGTGACGATGATGATGATGATGATGATGATGATGATGATGATGATGATGATGATGATGATGATACTGATGATGATGGCGAGGGTGATGGTGAATGTGTGTTGCTGATGCTGTGGCAATGTTGGCGACGATGATGATCTTGATAATGCGAAGAAGGTGTTTATGATGATGTTGCTGTTCACATGCTGGTTATGATGTTGATGATGCTGCTGATGAGGATAAATATTATGATGGTGATGGTGGTGGTGATGCCGCTGATGATTATGCTGATGATGTTGATGGCGATGGCGATGGCTGTTGTGATGATGATGCTGGTGATGATGATGACGATTCAGATGATGATGATGATGTCGATGGTGAATATTATGATGAGTCTTATTCCGGTGGTGATGTCTCCGATGATGAGGATGATGCTTCTGCTGATGATGATTACGATTCTAGTTCTGATGTTGCTTATGCTTATCGCAATGATGAGGGTACTGATGACGATGCTGATGATCATGGTGATGCTGGTGGCCGTGATGAGGATGGTTGTGCTGGTGACGACGATGATGATGGTGATGATGACTATACTGAGGATGATGATGACGGTGGCGATGATGATGATGATGATGATGATGATGATGATGATGATGATGATGATGATGATGATGATGATGATGATGATGATGATGATGAGGAAGATGATGATGACGATGACGATGCTGATGATTGCGAAGGCCTTACGGCCGGTGCCGCCGACCCTGTTCGCAATGCGCAGCAAGAGGCACAGGCTGTGGGATGGTTTTGGGGAACGGGGAGAAGGACGAGAAGGTGGGGGAGGGAGGTGTCGTATCTGACCCGGGACTTCCCCGGGACTCCCCTGGGACCCCCCCCGGGACCCCCCCTCCCCTTCCCGTCGGGGAAGGGAAAGGGAAGGGGCTTCCCTTCGACTCAATTACGACGTTGCTCAAGGTCGGTACGGGGGGGGGGCGTCGTATCTGACCCGGGGGGGGGGTCGCCCCCCCCCTCCCCCCCCCCTCCCGGCGGGGGAGGGATCAAAGGGAAGGGGCTTCCCTTCGACTGAATTACGACGTTGCTCAAGGTCGGTACGGGGGGGGGGCGTCGTATCTGACCCGGGGGGGGGGTCGCTACCCCCCCCCCCCTCCCGGCGGGGGAGGGATCAAAGGGAAGGGGCTTCCCTTCGACTGAATTACGACGTTGCTCAAGGTCGGCTTGGCTCGAGCGGCTCGGGCGCGGCTCGGGCGGCTGGGGCGCAGGACAGAGACGACGAGTACAAAGAATAACGGAGATGACGGCTCGAACGGAAAAGCCCCTCACACACGCCGACAGGGTCGGCGGAAGATGATGATGACGATGACGATGCTGATGATTATCATAATGATGATGCTGATGCTTCTGATGATGATGGTGGGGATGCTGACGATGGTGCTGATGATGATGACATCAACAACGACGACGATGATGCTGACGATGATACCCAGGACGATGATGATGTTCACGACAACGACGACGACAATGATGATGACGATGCTGACCATGATGATGACGATGTTGCTGATGATGATGATGTTGGTGATGATGATGGTGATGCTGCTGGTGATGCTGATGATGATGATGACGATCATGACGATGGTGTGGTGAATGTCTTGTTCATGATGGCGATGATGACAGCGACGACGACAATGATGCCGCTGACGACGCTCATGATGATGCTGCTGATGATGATGATGTTGATGATGCTGCTGATGATGATGTTGATGATGTTGGCGGCAACGGCGAGACCGACGATGCTGCTGACGATGCTGATGTTGGTGGTCGCGATGAGGATCATGATGACGATGATGATGCTGCTGATGATGATGATGATGATGATACTGATGCTGATGAAGATTACGATGACCACGACGACGAGGATGACGATACTGACGATGCTGATGCTAATGATGCTGATGAGGGTGCTGCTGCTGATGATGATGCTGATGATGAAGCTGATGATGATGGTTAGACTGACGAGGATGAGGTGACCATGTTGGTTATGCAGGTTATTACGATGTTGAGGCGACGGAGAAGGGATCTGATGATTATGATGATGAGGCTGGTGGTGATGTTGGTGATGATGACAATGATGCTGCTGCTGGTGATGATGATGATGATGCTGCTGGGCATGATGCTGATGATGATGATGGTTATGCTGCTGATGATGATGATGATGATGATGATGATGCTGATGATGTTGATGACGACAACGACGATGGCGATGATGAAGCTGACGATGCTGCTGTTGATGCTGCTGATGATGATCACGATGATGATGATGCTGACGATGCTGCTGCTGCTGCTCGTGATGTTGATGGCTACGGCGACAACGATGAGGAGGAGGAGGACCCGGAGGAGGAGGGGAGGATGAGGATGAGGAGGAGGAGGAGGAGGAGGAGGAGGAGAAGGAGGAGGAGGAGGAGGAGGAGGAGGAGGAAGGAGGAGGACGAGAATGAGCAAGAGACGGAGGATACGGAGGAGCAGGAGGAGGAGGATGAGAAGGAGGAAGAGGGGGAGAATGAGGAGCAGGAGGCGGGTGGAGAGAAAAGAGTAGAGAGTGATGATAGGAAGAGATGAGAAAGGAGAGGCGAGGGAGGATTAGGAGGATGATGACGACGACGACGACGACGATGATGATGATGATGATGATGCTGAGGATGATGATGATTACGATGCTTCTGCTGCTGATGATGACGATGATGAATATGATTATGATTATGATGGCGATGATGATGATGCTGATGCTGATGAAGAAGACGATGGTGATGACGATGTCGATGATGCTGATGCTGAGGATGACGATTATACTGATGATGCTGATGATGATAATGCTGACGATGCTGATGATACGGAGGAGGAGAAGGAGGAGGATGAGGAGCAAGAGGAGGAGGAGGAGGAGCAGGAGCAGGATAACGAGGGGGAAGAAGAGGATGCTGCTGATGATGCTGCTGATGATGCTGATGCTGATGATGATGATGATGATGATGATGATGATGATGATGATGATGATGATGGTGGTGATCATGATGTTGCTGATGATGATGAAGCTGGTGCTGACTATGATGATGATGGTGCTGCTGCGGATGGTGATGATATTGATATTTATGCTGTGCTGCTGATGATAAATATGATGATGCGGATGCTGCTACTGATGATGATGCTGTTGATTATGATCGATCTGTTGATGAAGGGGATGCTTATACTGATGATACTGACCATGGCGATGCTGCTGGTGCTGATGAAGAAGGTTATGGTGATGACGATGTCGATGATGCTGATGTTGAGCATTTCGATTATACTGATGATGCTGATTATGCTGATGTTGATGCTGATGCTGCTGATGATAAGGAGGAGAAGGAGGAGGATGAGGAGGAGGAGGAGGAGGAGCAGGAGCAGGATAATGAGGGGAAGAAGATCATGATGATGATGATGATGATGATGAGGAGGAGGAGGAGGAGGAGGAGGAGGAGGAGGAGGAGGGGAACCAGTGTAAACCCAAGACTCCTTAACGATGTTGGAATGCACCCTCTTTCCACGTTCCCTCTTCACAGGCCCCTGTACGGGTTCATTTCCACTGAGGGAACTGCCCCGTTCGGGGGCAACCGTGTGAAACTCCTGAAGCGTGCAAAAAAACTTTCTCAGGATTTCAACGCCACGAGTCAACCAGACTGTTGCGTCTTGACGATCCTGACTTGTGCCAGAATGCCTATCTTGGTACGCCAACACCGCGGATCAACGTAACAGTCGCGCCCTGACAGTCCTGAATCGTTCCAGAAGACCGTTTCTGGTACGTTAATCATGGGAGTCAGTGAACCCCTGGCGTATTTTTGAAACGACTGTGCGCGGCGCTATGGCGAGAGCCACGTTTTGAAACATAATCATCCTCAATTTGTGAAGCCCTCTTGCAGATTTTCAAAATGAATGTGCGCGGCACTAAGGCGAGCGTCACATTTGGGAAGCAACCCGCCCTCAATTCGTGAAACGCTTGCGTATTTTTTAACGAATGTACGCGGCGCTAACGCGGAAGCCACATTTTGGAAGCATCCCGCCCTCCATCCGTGAAAGTGTTGGCGTTTTTTAGCTTCAGGCTCATAAGTGGTAAGAAGGTCTCAGGCGAAACGCCAGGCCCGCCCTTCCGACTGGCCTTGGGGTGCAACAGGGAGGAGTTATTCATAAGGAACAGGAGCGGAGGATGAGAAGAAGGTGAAGGTGTTTGTGGAGGAGGAGCTGGTGGTGGAGGATGGAGGAGAACGACGACGAGCAGGTAGGACGAGGAGGAGGAGGAGGAGGAGAACACGGCCGAGGGTAAGTACGAGGAAGACGGGGAAGGGGAAGAGGAGGATAGCAGGAGGAGGAGGCGGGTGAGGAGGAGTAGGAGCAGCGGTGAGTTGTGAAGGGAAGAGATGATCAAGCTTGTATGAGGAACCAGGACCAGTGAGGTGTGAGGTGTGAGGAGGAAATAAGGGTCAAGGATGTTTGAGGAAGAAGGAGGTGATGTGTGAGGAGGATGAGTAATAATGACCTTTCAAGTTTGATCAGTACTGGGAGAATAAAGAGGAAGGATCAGAGGAGCGATGAGCGAGCAGCGGGGAGTGGGCGAGCGAGGGGCGATGAGTGAGGAGTCGCACACGCTCTCGCGGCGCCTGTCGGCGTCAAGCTTGGATTTCTTGGCGACTACGTGGACCGTGGGCCTTTCTCCGTGGAGACGATCACGATCCTGGCCCTTCTGAAGTTGAGGCCCTTGGGGACTTCAAGGGTGGAGAGTCGACCGTGGCAAGCACGCCGCCATGCGTCCTAAACCTGCTGCCCCTCTTCCGTGCCCTCCTCCTGCAAATGCTCCTCACTCTGGCCCCTTCTGTGCGCATAGGCAGCCCCACCCCCACAGAGCGCTTCACGACGCGCGCACGCGCACGTTCCCTGGAGCTGCTTGGCCGGCCTCGCGCTGGCCTGCCACTCTCTGTTGTTTTATCCTACGTGTGCGGTCTTTTGCAGTAGAAGTGGAGGGTCCGAAGGTCTGAGTATCCATAGGACGAGGGGGAGGAGGAGGAGGAGGAGGAGGAGGAGGAGGAGGAGGAGAAGGAGGAGGATGAGGATGAGAAGGAGAAGAAGGAGGAGGAGGAGGAAGAGGAGGAGCAGGAGACGGAGGGCCCCTGGACGCCCTTGGAAAGGACGCGGGCGAGTGGCCAAGAACCGCGAGCGGGGATCCGTCTTCCTCCTCCTCCTTCTCCTTCACAGTTACACAATATGAATACTGCTCTCCTTTCTCCGCTGGCGACGTCCGGGAAATATTCGGCCCCCCTCCGCGTACTGGTTTTCTACACACGGTTCCGGGGAGTTTTTTCGTTTTTTGTTTGTTGTTGTCGTCGTCGTCGTCGTCGTCGTCGTCGTCGTCGTCGTCGTCGTTGTTGTTGTTGTTGAATATTATTACTTCTAAAGAAATATTATTGTTGAGACCCCTGGTGCGCGACCCCCCTCCAAAACCTAGGCCGCAGCCTCATTTCCTTCATTTTCTAGCGAAAGCTTCAGAAAAGTGGATTGTCACCGGATCCGGTTGTTTTGTTGTAATCCGTTTTCCCTTGCAAAAAACACTATAAAATGAAAATTCTTGTTCTTACTTGATCAAATTGCAAGAATCCCTTGCAAAAAATAAGGTAAAGTGGACATTCGTGCGCGCAAGACGAAATCCTTCCAAAACCTTAGGTTTCGTAGCGATTTTAACATAAAAACATCAAAAACCCAATGGTTTTTTAAGAAAAAATTGTCAAAATGTCCTTCCGCGCGCGCTGTCCGAATCCCACAAAACCAATGGTTTTTCAACATTTATGTTACATGAGCTCGCGCGAGCTACTTTTTCTTGTTCTAACATAATCAAATTTCAATAATCCCTTGCAAAAAATAAGGTAAAGTGGACATTCGCGCGCGCAAGACGAAATCCTTCCAGAACCTTAGGTTTCGTAGCGATTTCAACATAAAAACATCAAAAACCCAATGGTTTTTCAAAAAAAAATGTCCAAATTTCATCCCGCGCGCGCTGTCCGACTCCCACAAAACCAATGGTTTTTCAACATTTATGTTACATGAGCTCGCGCGAGCTACTTTTTCTTGTTCTAACATAATCAAATTTCAATACTCCCTTGCAAAAAAAAGTAAAGTGGACATTCGCGCGCGCAAGACCAACAAAAAACACGACGATCTCAGGAACTTGCCCCAAAAATGTGACCAACTCCGCTCTCTCTGTCTCTCTCTCTGTCTGCTCTCTGTCTCTCTCTCTGTCTGTCTGTGTCATGTATTGTATGTCACAATTGCAGGATGCTGGGCACACGCGCGCCCCGAATAAGTGACCAAGTTCTGTGGGTGTGTACCCCACGCCAGTGTAGTAGCCACGGTCGTCCGCACGCCACGAAGTGAAGTGTCCCAACGTCATAGGGCGGGAAGCTGGGTTTGGGTGGTCGCGAAGAGTCGTTTGGATATTTGGTAGAGCTTGAACTGCCCCCCCACGAAGTGGGGGTATTGTCTCGCGTCGCATGAAAACCCTGGCACTGGTGAGAACACTGAGCGTTCGGGTAAAATGATTGTTGTTGTTGTTGTTGTTGTTGTTGTTGTTGTTGTTGTTGTTGAACATTATTTACTTCTAAAGAATAATTATTGTTGGGCCCCCTGGTGCGCGCCCCCCCCGCCGCGCCTAGGCCGCAGCCACATTTTCATCATTTTCGTGAGGAAGTCTCAGGCAAAACGGGGTGGTCCAGATCCGGTTGTTTTGTTCCCCGCTTTCCCTTGCAAAAAATAAGCTAAAGTGGACATTTCTTGTTCTAACATAATCAAACTTCAAGAATCCCTTGCAAAAAATAAGGTAAAGTGGACATTCGCGCGCGCAAGACGAAATCCTTCCAAAACCTTAGTGTTCGTAGCGATTTTAACATAAAAACATCAAAAAACCAATGGTTTTTCAACAAAAAAATGTCAAAATCTCATCCCGCGCGCTCTTGCGGATTCGTAGGAAACCCAACACTTTTTAAACATTTCTGTCAAACGGGCTTTTGCGAGCAACTTTTTCGAACTTCTGCAACAACGGTTGCGCACCTGCCAGGGCCATCATCCCTGTCAAATAATACCATGCGGGACACATTCGTTTTTTCTTCGCGCGCGCACGCCGTCGTCGTCGGCCGCGGGGCCCTGAATAGTAGCCACGGTCGTCCGCATGCCACGAAGTGAAGTGTCCGAACGTCATAGGGCGGGAAGCTGGGTGTGGGTGGTGGCGAAGAGTCGTTTGGAAATTTGGTAGAGCTTGAACCGGCCCCCCCACAAAGTGGGGGTATTGCCCGCCTCCTATGAAAACCCTGGCACTGGTGAGAACGGAGTGTCCCCACGTGCTAGTAATTGTTGTTGTTGTTGTTGTTGTTGTTGTTGTTGTTGTTGTTGTTGTTGTTGTTGTTGTTGTTGTTGTTGTTGTTGAATTCTCATTTCTGAAGAATAATTATTGTTGATCCCCCCCCACCGGTGAATACTGTTTTTTCTCAATCAAAGTCTGCCCCTCGACGCTCGCACCTTGTTTTTGGACAGGGAAAGTCTTGATGCCCAAACTGGGCCCCTGGCCCCCCGGGTTACAACAACAACGGCTCCCGCCTGAGACTTCCTCACAATTTAACCAGGACCCCCGCTCCCGCCCGAGATTTCCTCACGGAATCGCGCTCTCGCTTGGGACTTCCGTACAATTATTTAGGAGTCGCTCTCCCGGCGCTCTGGAGTCGCGCTCTCGCTGGAGACTTGCTTGCAATTTACCGACGAATAGCGCCCTTGCGTTGGAATTTCTTGCAATTTACTCAAGCGCCGCGCTCCCGACACCCAGGCACCCAGGAGTCGCGCTCACGCTTAGGACTCCTTTCACAGATTACCTAGGAATCGGGATCTCGCTGCCCGTCGTGGCCCCGTTGCAGCCCTTCGTGGCCCCCTCGCTTTGTTTCGTGGCCCCGTTGCAGCCCTTCGTGGCCCCCTCGCTTTGGTTCGTGGCCCCGTTGCAGCCCTTCGTGGCCCCCTCGCTCCCCTTCGTGGCCCCGTTGCAGCCCTTCGTGGCCCCCTCGCTCCCCTTCGTGGCCCCGTTGCAGCCCTTCGTGGTCCCCTCGCTGCCCTTCGTGGCCCCGTTGCAGCCCTTCGTGGCCCCGTTGCAGCCCTTCGTGGCCCCCTCGCTCCCCTTCGTGGCCCCTTTGCGGCCCTTCGTGGCCCCCTCGCTGCCCTTCGTGGCCCCATATATGTATGCCCTTCGTGGCCCCCGCTCGTTCGCGCCCGTGTTGGCCCCATATGCATGCCCTTCGTGGCCGCGCTGTCGCCCTTCGTGGCCCCCTCGCTGCCCTTCGTGGCCCCGTTGCTGCCCTCGGTGGCCCCGTCCTTGCCCTCCGCGGCCCAACATACGTATGCCCTTGGTGGCCCCCGCTCGTTCGCGCCCGTTGTGGCCCCATGTGCATGCCCTTCGTGGCCCCGCTGTCGCTGTTTGTGGCTCCCTCACTGTCCCACGTGGCCCAGTTGCTACCCTCAGTGGCCACATCGTTGCCTTCTGTGGCCCCGCATTATCTGCCCTTCGTGGCCCCCGCTCGTTCGCGCTCTTCGTGGCCCCATACGCATTCCCTTCGTGTCCCCGCTGTCGCCCTTCGTGGCCTGCTTCGTGTCCTTCGTGGCCCTGCTGTCGTTCTCTCTCGCTCTCGCTTTCTCTCGTCGTCGCCGTCGTCGTCGTTGTCGTCGTCGTCATCGTCGTTGTCGTCGTCGTCGGTCCCCTGTCCGTCCCTCTTGGGGTCGGGTCGACGGTCCGCGGCCGCCCCGCCGATCAGCGCTGCCGCTGGCCAGGCCGACGGTCCGCGGCCGCCCCGCCGCTTGCTGGGGCCCGGCCTGCAGTGAAGAAAGGTATACCCCCCAAAAGGGGTTCGATCGAAGACGAAGAGGGCGGGTACCGAGGGTTTGGGAAATACGCGTTATTGGACATTCGAGCAGATAAAGGCGATCAGTCTTTAAAAATGTTTGTTGTTGTTGTTGTTGTTGTTGTTGTTGTTGTTGTTGTTGTTGTTGAACATTATTAATTCTAAAGAATAATTATTGTTGGGGCCCCTGGTGCACGGCCCCCCCGCCGCGCCTAGGCCGCAGCTACATTTTCATCATTTTTTCGCGAAAGCTTCAGAAAAGTGGATGGGGTCCAGATCCGGTTGTTTTGTTGTAATCCGTTTTCCCTTGCAAAAAACACTATAAAATGACATTTCTTGTTCTAATATAATCAAATTTCAAGAATCCCTTGCAAAAAATAAGGTAAAGTGGACATTCGCGCGCGCAAGACGAAATCCTTCCAAAAGCTTAGTGTTCGGAGCGATTTCAACATAAAAACATCAAAAAACCAATGGTTTTTCAACAAAAAAATGTCAAAATCTCATCCCGCGCGCTCTTGCGGATTCGTAGGAAAACCAACACTTTTTAAACATTTCTGTCAAACGGGCTTTTGCGAGCAACTTTTTCGAACTTCTGCGACAACGGTTGCGCACCTGCCAGGGCCATCATCCCTGTCAAATAATACCATGCGGGACACATTCGTTTTTTCTTCGCGCGCGCACGCCGAAATCTCCAAAAACCATTGGGCTTCTTAAGAATTTTAGCACCGCGCATCATAAAATCACACGAATCGCACCGTAGGTCCTCGAAAAACACCTGCACGACTTTTCAAAATTTCTACCCGCGCGCGCTGTCCGAATCCTAAAAAAAAA